GGGGGTAGGTTTTAAAGGATGATGTGATTTAGTTGGTGATTACAATAGGTGGGAGGGGAGGGGATTGGGTGGGGGGGGGACTATGCTGACTGTTTGCATGCGCTACAAACCGCCCTTCTCTATTTAACATAACACCTGCACTATTATACCACCTATACTTTAGGAGTTGTTCTGCTTCAGAAGCTGCTGGCTATTACCATGTAACACCCAACCACATGCAGGACACGTCCACCTTCCTTTATACAGGGACAAGTTAAAGAGAAACAATATATATGCCTGTGCAGCAGCAGCAGCACGGTAAATAAATTACAGGCTACCAAGTCCCCGTGACTTTCCTCATTAATGTTTAATAGGTCTGATTCCCACAGCATTAGTAATTCAGTCAGGCTTCAGTGTTTATAACGAAGGAGGAGACATGAATCAATGCAAGTCTGCAGATCGCCTCGTCAATACGGTGCCAGCGACCGGTGCGTCCCCGGTGCGTAATTCCAATACCCGTGCGTCCTGACGGTCGGTGGGTTTCCTTGAACGTATCGACGACCGACGCGGCCAAGGTTCGCCTCTGAAGCCTCCCGAGAGCTCGGCCTCTCCATAAATCCGAAAGCTTAGATTAAAGAATATCGCTGCATGCCCGGAGGGTGAACGCGGATCTATTCGCTTTTCTTTTTTTTTTACAATACTGCGCAATAGTTTAAACATTACGGTAAACGTATTGCACAGATCCATGCTGCCCTTTAAGGGGAACACATGTTCATGGTCTTTACCATATATAGAAAGGCTGCAGCACTTCTAGGAAACAGATTCCAGTTACTCACGTTTCTTTGTGTAGCAGAGCGAGTCTCTCTCTCGGCACTTTGAGCCTTTGCGACAGCCTCCTCTTCAGTCCGTCCACGGTCTCCTCCTGGGGAAGGGAGAGCTCGAAGCGTGTGCCGGTGGTGGAGTGGATGTACAGATTCATGGAGGGCTCCGTCGGGACGGCCTCACAGGACGAAGCCCCGCGACTAGTGCAGCTCCGGGCGCTGGGGTGCTGGTCCATCCGATAACCTGTGGTTTAGAGGGAAGTGTTTGGGGGAGGAAGGGAGACGAGCAGAGCCGGAGATGAAGCGAGGTTTTGGGGTAGGGAGGAGGATGGTGAAGCGGATCCGTCGCTTCGGCTACCGGCCCTTGTTCAAAGGCAGCTCCGAGAGTCTGAATACAACCCGGTCCGTCTTCTCTCCGGTCGATATCATGAGAATATTCCCACAGGAAAGTCAACTAAACAAGGCTCGCTTCTCTCTTTGCTACACCGGTTTCCCCTTCTTCTTATTCTTTGTTGCTCTCTCCAACGTGCAAAGCAAGAGGCTTCCTAAATGCTACATAGATGGGTGAACGCCAGGCAGAAACGCAAGTATGTTGTCAGCAAAAACAATTACAAAGAATATGCCATGGACGCTCATTTACGCAGGCGGTTACCGTTAAAACACAAACGGGGAGGTTTAATAGTAATACCAAAAAAAAAAGAATATAAATTCCTCTCGGTGTTCTGTGAGCTTTTTGCGAGCTTTAGATGAGAAAACACACAGTCCGCGAGCTGCAAAAGCCTCGTACGGTTCGTGGAGAGAGAGAGAGAGAGAGAGAGGCTCTCCGCTGCGCACTCGTACCCACGGCGGCTCCTGTGAAATATCGACAATGAACGTTGTCCACAAAGTATCCCACTTCCACCGTCTATAAAAAAAAACAACAGAAAAAACGCCCACAAGCCCCACAGCCGGCCCGGCCAATCACAGGAGAGCTCCGTTAGAAACGCTGACTGACTTCAGCCAATGGTGAGAAGGGATCCACACCCACGTGGAGGGCAGGCGAGTTTAGACCATTCATAATAAATTACAGCATATAGGACAAAAATATGAGCCCCGTACCACGGGAGCGTGCAGCAGCGGGGCCTAAGCGGAGGTCCGTGGTCCTTTTAGAAGGTCACTGGAGCGTTTGAGGTAACGGAGTTATAAAGACGAGTAGTTTACTAACTTGCTCGCTATTAATTACTTATTATTACGAAGTAAATCGATAACTACGAACTACCCAGCTAGTTTATTTCTTTCATTTCAGGTACCAGCTGTATACAATGCTATGTATTTGATCTTGTGTGGGAACAAATAGCATTCATCATTAAAACACCTGCACACCAGTGATCTCTGCACTGGTTCATATAAACGATCAGAAGGCCTGTTGTTGCATTGACAGTGAAAAGCAAATAATATACATATGACACATGAAGTGCTGCACATGTTCATTATTTCCAAAAAAATGTCTGCTGAGATGACAACACTAAGCACAGGATCGTACACACAACGAGGGACAGATTGGTAATTACCTAAATAGAGTGAGTCGGGCCTTTAACGTGATGAAGGAGATACTCGGTCTCCACCCAGTGGCCGAAGGAGGAACTTCGACAACTTGCAAGTGACTCACTTTTGCATATTGCAATTTTGGACTTTTACAGCAAACATTTTTACCCGTCAGGGATATGATTTTAATTAGTTTTTGTTTTGAGATCGATCATTAAATGAGCTCATTATGCTCTTAGCACGGTTGTCACCGCCGCAGTGTAATTGAATAAAGGTCCTTATTGCGCTTCTAAAACACACGACATTAGCAACGACTTACTGTCAGATACTAATTATAATTTACAGTAACGGTGACATTCTCCTGTCGTCGATACCGGCTCTTATTAAGTTAATCATGTCCGTGGTATTTACATGGAAGGTGGCTCGTCCAATCACGCGACAACGTGCTTCTATCGATCCGCGATTGACTGCTTGTCTCCAAATCGATTTCTTAACCCACACAATACGTCAAAACGGATAACAGACATTTGTTCAAGTGACTCAAGAAAAGAAGAAAACATAAAGTTGGATTTGATATTAAAATGCACTTACCAATTATTGTGGCGAGAACTTTAAAGCTTCGCGCAGAAGTGTGTCGTGTTCCAGCGCGTTCCCCCAGCTTTGGCATGTAAAATAAACCCAAGTGGTGATTAAAAAAAAATAATAATAAAAACTCAAGAGATAAATCCAAACACCTGAATATCCACTCTGCGTGTCCGGCAACGCACCAAACCTCCGGACCAATAGGGAGCTGCGGTTACGTCCTCTGCGTTGTGAGCGCGCTGGTGTCTGTCTCGGTTGTGAGAGAGCTCATGCACGGGAAGGTGAGACACCTCTCTAACCGACTCTTCTCGGATATGGGCGGAGTGTAGTGTTCTTGTTATGTCAGCATGGGATTTAAGGTGGC